GACTCCATAAATACTCCTGACAACTTGCCCCACACCCAGACATTGTAACCTGAGCAGGAAAACATTTTAATGAATCCCAGGCAATGCTTAATGTTTGACAAAGTTTGAGAACAACTAAGTTAAGTATTTTGCATACTTTTTTCATATTAAATTTGGGCATTTCAAATGTCAGAATTGTAGTATAGTCCTATCTAACAGCTAGCACCTGAAGCAGATTAAGTGGGTAATTATATCTGCTTCTTCAGGTGGTAGCCGTTAGACAGGACCATATCGTACTTGGGCTCCACTGGGAAATAACTCATACTTACTATCCCAACTTCCTCTCCCACCAATGTACCACACACAGTTTGCTCCAGTCAAACCAAGTGATTCTGTTTGCTTGCAAGACCGAAAGCTACTGGAGATTAGCATTCAAGTCTCATACATGCCTGGTGCATAGCATGTGCTACCAGCATAGGCATGTCTAGCACTCTGAATACAAGTACAGATTTTAAAATACTACAAGATGCTCTTCTAACAGTGATTGCAGATGTTACATCCTACTGGCAGTAAAACCCAAACAAAGAAAATTAATTAGTGCCTATCTAAATAGAAGCTAGTTTTCTCTATAGTTCCTGGGCTTTAAATTGCCAATTTAAAATATACTAAAAATCCACCTGCAGCAATCTACTCTAAAATAAAAGGCTGATTGTGACTAAATATGCAAAACATATTTATGCTGATTTTTTTCCTATAACTTTTACAATCCTTTAGAAGAAAATAAGAGAAACTGGACTATAGCTTGGCAATAGAGCGCTGGTCTAACATGTACAGGAAACTGGGTTTATCACCAGTGTCACCAAAAATGTAAACAAATGAAACGGAGGAAAATCCTTTTATGGAGAAATGCAGTAGTGTCAAATACATGGCTAATTATTGTTCTATATTAATATTTTATTGGTATCCATCATTCCAGAAACTTTAGTTTCTGTCATCAAAGGGTAGACTTTATTAATTCACATTTTAAAGACTTAGATTATATGTAGCACATTATTACTATAAAATACATAAATGCAGTTTCTCTGTAAGAGAGTACTAGCAGTGGCATGCTTCAGCTTAAAGATCATTTTTTTATAAGCATTTGAAAACTACACATCTTGTTTAAAAAAAAAAATCAAAGCTGGGGATGTAGCCCAATTGGTAGAGTGTCTGCCTAGCTTTCGTGAGGCCCTTGTACATGAGTTCCATTTCCAATGCCACATACATTGGGCACAGCCAGACAGATTGTCATCCTAGCACTTAGGAGGTAGAAGCAAGGGGATGAAAAGTTCAGGGTCATCCTTGGCTACAATAGGAGGCCAGCCTGGACCAAACTGTCCAGAAAGAGAAAGGAAAAGAGAAGTAAGGGAGACTGATTCAGCAAACTGATAAACCCCAGCAAGGAGGACAATTTTCAGTGTTTTAAGATTGTACTAGCAAACTGAAAGTGAGAAACTGGAATAAGTATTTCTACACACACCTTTGAAGCCACTGTACCTCAGTTTCAATAGCACAGTGCCGCTGAAGGTCATGAAGTGGAGAAATCAAATTCTCAATTCACTCCCTTTTTTCCTTTGTTCTCCTTGCTGAACTTTACATCCTTTCCTATTCTGCCACCCGTTATTCGGTGCTGACTAAGGCAAAGTCATTTTATGGAGCTTAAAAGATCCAACAGCCTCTGCAGACACCAATTAAACAATACAGAGAAGAATCTGGTTCCTGCTTTGATACTAAGTTTGGTGGCAAGCACCTTGACCCACTGAGCAATCTTACCCACCACCCCTTGATGTTGTTTTCTTTTTTCTTTGATTCCAACAAGACCTTCAATTCTCAAGGCCTAAAGCTCATCTAAATCTTGTATTTCTCCTTTTTGCTCCAACTGAAAGTTGACTGTTGGATATTCTTCCCCCAGAAGGGATGCAATAGAACAAAATAGAAGGGATGCAATAGAACAAAATGGAAGGGAAGAATAGTGGAGGGGCAAGGGTTCAGTGGAGAAATCAGGGAGGGTGGTAAATTGAAACGAAATATATATGGAAACCCACTCCCCTATAAGCTAATTTTTAAAGTTAAAATTAAATAAAGGAAATCAAGTACCTAGAGCAGGCATGGTGGCAAACGCCTTTAATCCTAGCACAAACAAACACAACAAGGTACCCTTCACATCATGTAATGATACACCAAGATAGAGTCTGCAGCAGGAAGAGGGCTGAACCTGATCTTGTGGCACTCTGACCTTGGACTTCAGCTTCTAGAACTGGGACAGATTTCTGTCATCTACAATTTACTCAGCCTAGAGCACTTGGTGTAGGTGGCTAGTGAGTTTTCTTGGCTTATGATTCTAGTAGTAATCAGAAACCCTGCTTCTCAACAGCAGCCCACACCAAGACACAAGTCAGCATCAACACATGAGTGTGCACTGAAACAAACATCTAAAAAGGCTGTAAGTTCATATAAACAAGCAAAGCAGCAAAAGTAGTAATAGTAGTAGTCATAATCAAACATGAATCTACTTGCTAGAGCCACTTCCAGCGAACAACCAAAGTGTCCTGATACAAATGTTTAACAAAAGTTACCTTTGAGTGATCTAGAGAGATGGCTCAGCAAGTAAGAGTGCTTGCCCCATAAGCATGAGACCATGAGTTCTAACCCCCAGGATACCATAAAAGGCGAGGGAGGTGTGGATGTACACCTGTAACCCCAGCACTGTGGAGGGCAGAGATGGGAGGATCACTGGAACCTCCTTGCTGCTAGGCTAGTCTGAGTTCAGTGAGACACTCTGTCTCACAGCAGTAAGGAGGAGAGCGATAGAAAAGGACAAACAGTGTCCCCCTCTGGCCTCTGCACACACACTCAAACACACAACATACATGCCACCCAAAGTAACCCAACACTGAGACAGGACATGGCTAGGAAAGTTGCATGATGATTTCAGAAAATATTACCAGAAGTAAAGATTCAAGACTATGGCATACCGATCATGACATTTCAGAATATATTAAATGCTGGGCATTAAAGAGACAGGGGAGTATTAAAGGAGAGTTCTAGGAGGGCAGAGGTCATGCCAGCTGACGACAAGATGAAGTGCCAAGTTTTCTAAAGGGGAAACCAAAGGGACATGATGGCTATCTCTAAAGCTTCTCTCTAAGTTAAGTAGGTTTGGGCTTAGGTTCACCTCTTCAGAGAAAGGTGTGTGAAGCAGGAGTTAGCTGCTATAGGAAGCAGATCTGAGAACAAGAGAAGCCATTGTTTGTGACCATTATTAGGACAATCTGAAAGTCAAATACATTAGCTCCTGAAATAGAAAAATTCATAAAGATTAGGTGATCAGCCATCAGGGACATTCTACACAGAATTTCTTTGAGAATATATAGAGACCACTGGTTATATGAAAATTGTCTATACATTCATTACATACTTGCTTTAACATACATTAAAAACTAATGTGAACCCGATGACTCGTGACTATTACAAAGGAATAAATGTATATAGCCTTAAACCCGATGGCTCATGACTATTACTTTTGGGACAGGTGACAAAGTAATTAAAGATAAAGGAAAATAGTAAAGCAGTACTCTGTTTCCTGTAACTAGATCTCACCTCATGATCTGCTCCTTATCAGCCTATCATTTACATAAATAATCTATAAAAGGCAGCAACACTGTAAAAAATTCTGAGAGGATAAAATAACTTTGAAGAAAGAAGGTTAAAAAACATTAAGTTATTCTTAACACAAATTATAAAAGAAAAAGCAAAATAAGCAAGGTGTGGTAGTTCACACCTGTAATCCCAATCCTTGGGACAGGGAAGCAGGAGGAGCAGCTCAAGGTCACTTTCAGTTACACTGTGATCTCCAAGCTAGTCTGGGCTATAAAAGCCACTATCCCAAAGAAATAACAACAAAACTGTCAGCAAATATGATGGAACTTCACAATGTCTGAATTTTGGACTTGCTGCTCTGAAGGGATTCTTTCATTAAACATTAGGAAAACCCGAGTTCCTCCTTTTCCAAAGTTGCCATTACCTACAAATTTTCTAAAAACTTGGTAATTTACCACCACAATATTCAAGGAGTTGTCCCAATACAAGAAAGTAATAGAAAGTGTTCATTATTTTTAGAACTAATTGTAGAAATGCTGATTTTTTAAAAAAAATAGCTATAACTGTAGAATACTGATTTTTAAAAATAACTATAGTTATACAATGTTATCTAGGATGCTCACAACTCAATTTTTATTACACAACACTCATGTTCTTCCATCTAATAAACACTTGTTGAAGGCCTACAGGCACAGTGTAAGTGAAAAAAGCTCATTTGCCTACTGCACTAAGGAGGCAAGTTTAAAAGCACAATTGCAAATCTTCATTTGAAAGCTCTAATGCTACTCTGAGGTTAAAATATTTAACATTCCTTAAAATTTACACATGCATTTTGGTTGTTCCAGAATTTAAACTATTTCCTATGCCCCATATTACTTACACACACACACACACACACACACACACACACACACACACACACACACACAGAAAAACAATGACCCTTAAACTAGTAAACTCAGCCTCCTGACTGGTATTTGATGCTGCTACTTGAATATATTCTGAGTCTCTCTGAAGCCTGAGAACAGTCATGACAGAGCTTGTGAACAGCCCACTCACCCTCTCTTTAAGGCACTGAACAGCAGGCGTGTGCACAGAGCATAAGGAACACCATGGTACTCTGTGAAGGAAACGATGCCACAGTACGAGTACTTGGGGCACTTGTATTGCTTAGTGAGGAGCCTGACCTTTTCTTTTCTTGTCTTAGTACAAGAATTACTTAATGTTTGCATAATAAAATAATAAGTGACATCTACTATGAACAAGAAGCATTAAAGCTTAACCCTGTCCCCTGAAAACATTTCCCCATGTTCATTCCCAAAGAGATTTCAGACAAAGTCTAAAAAAGAAAAGCAACCATCCCAGAGAGATTCTGATCATACCTCCTGAGTGTGTTCTTTATAGACTTGGAGGGGCCCTGTAGCTTTGGCAGTGTCCCAGAGCTGCAGTGAGCCATCACCACTACAGGTGACAAGGACATGCTCATTGTCTTCACTCCAGGTAACATCAAACAATCCATCACTCCAGTCAAAGCTACACCAGAATTTTAAAAAAACAAAAAACAATACATGAACTGCTTATCAGAAAATGATTAACAATCTTAAGTTTATCGTCATTCTCCTCGGTTCTTCGAGTACTATAGCACACATTATCTCATATGATCATCAACACGGCGAGAGATAAGCAGGTACTTCACAGAAACCAGGTCAGAAAGGAGGGAAGAATGGCCCAGGAAGGGCAGGTAAATAGCTAGAAAGCTAAACTAAAAAGAGGTTTGTAACCACCAATATGACGCAATCTACCCAGGGCATACTATCACACCTGCTGCTTGCTGTAGCCTGTGACTCAGTATGCACAAGCAAGCACTTCAAAATCCTGGGACCAATCACTGTAAACACTCCCCTAAATCCTCCCTCTGAAGTGTATGATACTTACTGCATAAATCTTTCAGCTACCAGCAGGTAGTCACCTCCTAACAGAATCTCTTTTCTCTGCCTTTCACTAACCCTGATGAAGTGTTATAAGTCCATTCATCAACACATAAGTCAGTACAGAGGAGAGAAACACTGGATAATCTACAAGATGAGCATTAACTCTTGCTTATGTAAAGCTAAATTACATTAAGACAGCAAAGGGGAGGTGTTACAGAATGTACTCACTGGGTCACTGTTGTTTAAAATATACAACTTATAAGCAGACACTAATAAGTTTGAGAACACAGCATAATCCTAAATGACAAAAATAATTTCTATATTATGCCAATGCAAAAGCTTCTTTAATATCATAAATCAAAAGCTATTAGTACCAAATATTTAAAAGGGAACTGTATTAAGACTTTGACAGGAGTTGAGAGATATGTAAGCTTAGTAATTAGAGCCACCATAGCGGTATGGAGGAGAATGGCTCCCATGGGCTCATGTGTTTGACTACTGCATCCCCAGTTGATAGAACTGTTTGAGAAGGTTTAAGAGGTGTGGTATTGTCAGAAGTGCACACTGTGGACACTCTCTGAGACTTCAAAAGACCTGCCCCATTCCCAGCATGCATCTCTCTGCCTCCTACTTGTGCATCAAGATGTGGACTCTCAGCTGTTCCTGTAACCATGCCCTTGCTCTGCCATCATGGACTCTACCCTTCTGAGACCACACACCCAAATTAAACACTTCATTTTATAATAAAGTGTTGTCTTAATCATGGTGTCTCATTGCAGCAACAGAAAAGACTTTACCTTCTAAAAATCTGTAGTCCAGATTGATTTTGATCCAATATTATTAGGGTTCCACAGCCTAAAGAGAAAAAAAAAAAAAGGTCATGCTGTTGAAACTTCCAGGGGACATCTAAGATGACATATTAAGCAGTATGAACCAGCATTAACTACCACAAATTTCCCTTAAAATAACTGTGACCAAGTAAACAAAAGAACTAGAAATTACACAGTATGCTTCAATCATTAAACATTCAACTTACCATCTTGCCTTACTAGAATCCAGACACCAGCATAGAGGAAAGACACCCGAGTGCCAATCAAACCAGGCCAAGTGCTAGGCACATAAACCTTTCAAGTTGGTGCTAACATCTCTACTAACAGAAGAGAAACCTCATGTTTATAGATTCCCAAGACTATGATTCTGCCTTGCTGACACAGGCAAAACACATCTAAGGTAGCATTTTAACACAAAGTATGGTGGGAATACCAGATCCTCTTTGGCCAAATATTTAAATAGCATTAACTCCAGTTATCTGCCAGCAATTAGTTATTACTGGTAAAAGACCAATGTCTCTTTCTCTTCCCTGACCACCCCCTACTCTAATAACTGATCAAGGTGCATTTGAGCTTGAACTATACAAGGTAAGATGACTAATTGTTAAGCTTACATGCACACCCAGGGTCCCAAGGTCTTAATAGTTATGCTTTGGTTCTTGTGATCAGTAAGATGTTTTCATTTGCAAGGTACTAAAGCTCTTCCACTTAAACATGACTGTTGAAAAACTCCCATTTCTAGGGCTGGAGAGATGGCTCATCCCTTATGAGCACTGACTGCTTATAGAGGACCAAGTTTCTGGCCCCAGAACCCACGTAGTGATTAACAACTATCAGGAACTCCAGTTTCAGGGGATCCAATGCCCTGTTCAAACATCCTTTTCTGTCCTTACAGGCACCAGGCATGGCAGTGGTTCACAGACATACATACAACCAAAACACTCAGACACACCCCTCTATAAGACAATTCCTAAATATACCAACTCCTTATAAGGAACCGTTTTAAAAGTCTTTATCCTAACTGGGGGCCAAGGACTGTAAACATGACTACAAAAGCACTAAGAGCAAATGATCAAAACTATGGTTATTTACTACTGACTTTCAAAAATCATTTTTTTCTATAGTAGACCAAACAAATACTACGGATCGCTGACATTATGCAATGGCTTGCCACACATTGCTCCAGTGTGTAAACAACAGATGGGGTACGAGTTAAAAGAAGGCTAAATATACGGCTTGGGCGTCTAGACAGCTCTGCAAATTTATCCATTTTCCATAAGACAACAAAAGGCGAGAACAGTACTTTCTAACCTTTTTTAAAGTTAGGATGGGAGTCGCCCTACGTATTAGTTGAGGGTGGCTTTGAACTCGTGACTCTGTTGCCTCGCCCTTCCAAATGCTGACAAGTGCATCCCTCTTAAGGAAGGGAAAGACAAGCTGTAGATTTCCCTGGGGCTCAAATGCCAACTGAGGGGAAAGGGGGAACCGAGGAGGGCGAAGCGG